AATACTTAACTACATGGTATTGTAAGGTCTTTTTTAGCTATTTACAATGGAAATCCTCTTTTGTGTTGGGGGAAAATATTATACATTTCCCTTAAAAACTATTCTAACAAGAAGGGTGCTCTAACTAATATATATTTATTAACTGTAATATTGCAGGATCATCAATCAAATAACTTGTAATTACACCATTCATAAAAACCATTCATTTTTAGAATCATAAAATCAGGAACAATTTTGCTAGCACCAAAATTGATTAATTTGTTATCATTACTAACCCAAAGACACCTAAGACTCATAAGAGAATATTTTACACTGTTCATTTTGTTTGAAGCTGATTCATGCTCAGTTACCAACCAATATCAAAAGTATCTAACATGTTTAAACATAAAGACTGTGCTATTTGTATTAAACATGTCATTGTTATTCACTTAAGGAGAAAGATGATTTTAACAGACATTTTTGGCAAATCAAAATAAAGTAAGAATTTTTCTTTTCTTTTAAGCCATTTATCTGTTGCACATTCCTTACTTCCTAGACGTTTGTATATTTCTCCGAATTACAGAAATATAACTGGATATGAAGACAGCTCTATCTGTGAATTAAAGGAATAGCTCTAATTTAAAAAGTAATAATAAAACCTCATCAATATTAAAGATCTACCAATTTCCAACTATTTGCAAGGAACTCTGTTGGTTCCAGGGGTCAAAAGTCATATAAGGAATAAAATGACTTGAAGGTTATAAACTAATTGAAAAAATAAGGCACATATATAAAAAAAGTAAAAACAATTTATATGGTAAGTAACCAAATTTGTTTACTAGGGGATGCTGCAGTGATTACACCACTCTGAATGTTTGATATCAAATTTCTAGATGTCTCCTTGTCAGAAGTTGACGGGTTTCTAGTAAATATCAATAACATGTGATGTCTGAACATTAATGGACTTACATACCTGGTATGAGTCCTCTTTGTAATATAAAACTTTTAACTAAATCTTAATCTTAATTGCACTGCATTCTATGAATTCCAATAGACACCATTCTGGGTCTAAAGTATAGAAAATATGTTAAGCTTGAGTTTCTTTGATCAAGTTAACTATAAAAGTATCCAAAGAGTTGTACTGGGGATGAGTATGGAAATTGGTTAAAAAAATAATTAAAGAAAGACAAATATGAAAGGATAAAGGAACAGTAACAGAAAAAATACTACTGGTTTAAACAGAAGAAAGAGGAAACAGAACTAATATAATGGAGAATATGCTTGTCAAATGCACATGCATAATCTTTTTTCTCCTTCTCTCCAAAGCTGGACAACTGTTTATTAAAACCATACTTTATTAATGTAATTTTCAAATATGTTTCAAAGATTTAGTTTCCAAGATAATTTTTTTTGCCCTGTTCATAAATACATCTTAAATGATGGGTTATCTGATGGCTGGAATAAAAAATAAAAATCTTAATTCACACCAACCTGATATATGGTCTTTAACAAGTGAAATAACCCCTCTTTTCCCTCTAATTTATAAATTTATGTCTCTCTAAACTTTGCACATTCCCTTAAGTTAGTGAAACTTCAGTCAGATAGACATGAATATTGGATAACTTCTTTTTACAAAGAATTAATCTGATAAGTCAGCTAGAAAAAGAAAAAACAAACAACCTTATTTTAAAGAGTCTTTTAATAGCCATGAACAGACATTTTTCAAAAAGAGATAGACAAATGGTCAACAAATAAAAAAATGTTTATCATCAGAGAAATGTAAATCAAAACCACAATGAGTTACCATCTTACTCCAGTCAGAATGGCCATTATTCAAAAGTCAAAAAACAATACACGTTGGTGCAGATGTGGTTAAAAGGCAATGCTTACTGGGGTGGAGAACCTGCAGCCTGAAGACCACATTTGGCCTTCTAGGTCCTTAAGTGTGGTCTTTTTACCAAATCCAAATTTTACAGAATAAATCCTTTTATTGAAAGGGGTACAGCAGAGAAAGATGAAGCTTTTCTTGCCCACTTTGATGCTTAAAAATGAACAATCTTGAAATCAGAAGGCCACAGGTTCCCCACTCCTACATGGAGAAGAGTATGGAGACTCCTCAAAGAACTAAAAGTACTAAAATTAGATTTCTCATTTCGATCTAGCAATTCCACTACTGGGTATCTACTCAAAGGAAGAGGAGCCATTATATCAAAAAGATACCCATACTTGTATGTTTATCAGAACATAATTCATAATAGCAAATATATGAATTCAACCTAAGGGTCCATCAACCAATGAATGGATAAAGAAAATGTGGTACATATATATCATGGAATACTACTCAGCCATATAAAAACACAATGAAATAATGTCTTTTGCAGTAACTTTGATGGAACTGAAGACCATTATCCTAAGTGAAGTAACTTGAGAATAGAAAATCAAATATCACATGTTTTGACCTATAAGTGGGTACTAAACTAGGGATATGTATGTTCCTACAGAGTGAATAATAGAAATTTGAGACTCAAAAGTGGGGGCTTTGAAGGGGATTGAGGGATGAAAAATTGCCTATTGGGTACAATGTACACTATTTGGGTGATGGGTACAATAAAAGCCCAGACTTCACCACTAAACAATATATCCATGTAAAAAACTGCACTTGTACCCCTTAAATCTACTGAAATAAAAAAAAAAAAGGTGATCTGAAAACAAAGAGGAAATAGAATGTTATTCATTTCTGTGTAGTCTGGATCATGCCTGGTTCTGATTACATTTTGGCTTAGGACCTGACTTAGAAATGAGTCAGTTATCAGAAATTGTTTTATGACTTAAAAAAATTGGTCAGTTGAACTCAGTTATCATTGACACTCACTATTTTGTTTTCAGGCAACTTAGATACATAATCTTTTCTTAAATAAAATTTTAAGTTTTTGACAAAAAAACGAAATTGAGACATGTATGGTCAAAGTGACCATCTTAATGAAAAGTTCTATAAAAAGTCTGATAATTACTATATGTATAAGTTGCTGTCATCTAGGACCCAGAGCACCCATAGGAATGGTTTCTTATAGTTACACATTTTTTTCATAAATTCTATTTTGAATTTCTCTTTTAATTGAATGTCTCTTTTATTATAGCTTTATGATAGATTATATGATATATATTTTCACATGCCTTACCCAATAACTATTTTAGAAAAGAATTATATACATGGAAATGTCAACTTTTAGCATGCCTCAGCTAAAACTGACCAACAATGGTCTTTAAAACTGTGAAGTTCAAAGAGGATAAAAGCATATGATAAACCTTCTAGACCAGGGCTATGAACTCAAATAGGCAATTAGCCAGATATACTTTGCAGACTTTTGGCTGATACACTGATCTTGTCCTATAGTCTTTCCCTCTGACTGAATAAGAGCATAATGAAAGCCATTCGAAACAGACATAGTATACCTACCTCAGTTTTCTGTTTCTGGTATGTCAGTAGTGCAAAGCTGAGCACATAACAGGCAATCAATAGTTGATTGAACTATTCTTGAAATAAGCAGGATTATCTGACTTCTAAGGCACCAATCCCAGTAACAGCCAGCTCTTCCATAAAATGCATCCAAATTTAGTTCCTTTCTGAACCTTCACTTTCAGTCTATAAAATCTTTGAATATACAAAATACTACTCATTTTATCTTAAAATATCTATTTCTACCCTATGTCCCAGTAGTTCTACTTCCAGTATATCTTAGAAAATTCTTGCAAATGTGCACAGTGAGACACACATGGAGGACTCCAAATGCCCTGTTCTTTCTACTTCCTCCAAAATGAAAAATCTTATAATGACTTCAAAATATCTTTCCTGGATTCTAATTTTACCATGAGTAAAGTGGTTCAAAAAGCTAGGGATGATATTGTTGCTTTCCTTTTGCTGTGATTATTCCTAAAACAAGAGTAGGCTGAAAGATATTTTTGTAGCTATTGCCATTGCTTCTCTGTTGGTTTAACATAAAGGCACTGTTAGATGATTCTAGAGCTAGATAAACTGGCTCTTAACTGGAGGCAACTTTGTCCTCTACAGCAGTCCTCAACCTTTTTGGCACCAGGAACCGGTTTCACGGAAGACAATTTTTCCATGGACTCAGACTCAGGGGTCAGGAGGATAGCAAGCGATTGGGAGCAGCTGTAAAAATAGATGAAGCTTAGCAAGCTCGCCCACCACTCACCTTCTGCTGTGAAGCCTGGTTCTTAACAGGCCATGGACCAGTAACAGTCCCTGGCCTGGGGTTCGGGGACCACAGCTCTACAGAATATTTAGCAATGTCTGGAGACATTTTTGGTTGTCACATCTTGGGGAGGGAGAGATACTATTGGTGTATAGGGAGTAGAGGCAAGAGATGCTGCTAAACATCCTATGCTGCACAGGACAGCTGCCCAAAGAACCATGCAGCCCCAAATGTCCACAATGGTTGAGAAACCATGATCTAGAGGTAAGAATTGTAGACCACACTATAGATAATTTTGAAAAAAATAATATTCAAAAATCATAGAATGTGTATACTAAAATATAGAAGACTTGAGAAATTTACAAAGCATGCTAGGCTTTGTTCTAATCAATTACCAGATAAAGTAATAAGAACCATGTGAATGATTTTGACACAATTTCTATTTGAAACTCCAGAATCAATCTAGGACAGGGGTCCTCAAACTTTTTAAATAGGGGGCCAGTTCACTGTCCCTCAGACCATTGGAGAGTGCGTACTGTGGGCCCGGGACCAGTCGGCTGCTAAGCAGGAGAGGCAGCGGTGGCAAAAACACCTGGAGGGCCAGATAAATGTGCTAGGCGGCCCTCATGTGGCCCGAGGGCTGTAGTTTGAGTACGCCTGATCTAGGATAAAGAGTGGTGAGAAAGTAATAGTAAATAAAAACAGTATCTATAATTAAATGTGTGGGTTCTATGGTTAGTAAAATTGGATACAGGGGTGCAGAATAATAGTCTTTAAAGAGAGCTACCTTTTTTTTTTTTTTTTTACCTTGTCTTCACTTTCTGATAAAAATCTCCTATTTTCACTTTTTCTTTCTTTAAGAGTTTTCTTCAAACAGCTCCTGGACAGTAAAATAATAGAGATAAGGAATAGGTTTATTAAAAATTGGATTCTCTGAGCATTTAATGCCTACATTAAAGTATTTCTGAATCATACAACTCCTGAAACTAATTTGGAATCATCCTGAAGTGGGAAAGTGTCTCTAATAATAGAAAATGCTTTATTTTTCTTACGCTATCACCCTTTAAGAATCAATCAACTCAGCTAATAACAAAATAAAATTTCATTTTGATTATTCAAGTTTTGAAAAGGTTTCCTGACAAAGGGGAAATTTTAAGATCTTGAGTGCTCTGTTAAAATCAAAGGTTTCTAGAGAAATGTTCTGACAACTGTATATTATTATCAATAAATGTCACTATTTATTATTAAAATAAGGATGAAATCTTATCACTTCTAGAAATGATAAATATAGTAGATGCACTTTTTTCTAATTATCCAAGATTTTTTTTTTTTCATTTTATTCTATTCACTCGAGACCTACATTCCACTTCTCTCCTTGTGTTCATCTGGCACTTCCTAATTATAAAGTGGATATTTTTTCAGGTCACCTATGACAACCACTCAAACCCATTCCTTTTGTCTTTAAACTTCTGTTCCCTACTCTATCTTCTATTTGCCTCAGCTAATGGAGATTTACCTCTTCTGTAGCTCTAATCTCTGTTGCCCATCACTTGAAGAGTTCTAGGCTACTCTAATTTGCAAATCAAATCTAAAACAGCAGAACTATGAAAACAACCATGTGTTCTTTGCCCAGGGAAAAATGGTTTTCTATTATGAGCAAGAAAGACCCTCAGTTTATACCTCTGTAGGATATCTAGGAAACTGAATCTATTTCTTCACATAGAAACTAGAAAGACTGCCAGTCAACTTAAAGAATTCCTCACTTACTCTTATACTAAATGGGCACCTGAGCTATAGAAAGCAAGCAATAGAAATCTTCTTTTGTGACTCCTCCTTGTCAATCTTCTATACACATTCGGAAGTACTGAACTGAGAATCAAGGAGAGCTTGATTGCATACCTATCCCATTTGCTCAAAACTTGCTTACCAAATCAAATAATCTCACTGAGATTTGGGTTTTTTTGTTGTTTTTGTGTCTTTTAAATTGCTAAAAAGAAGATGAAAATGCCTGTCAAGGTTACCTCAGAAGATTACTCCAGGTATCAAATGAAATGATGTATACAAGACATTCTGTAAACTACTAAGTTCCATCTGAATGAAGCTATTTGATGTAATGAAGGATTTATGACTCTATATTAGAATATTGACTTCCATTATGCAAATAAGAGCAAAATATAGACTCCTGTTTGGGTCCCACTCCAAATTTACTCTATCAGAATCTATAGAGGTGAGGTCTAGCATTTTTAGAAAAAAACAACCAAAGTCTGAGAAATACTACATTATGCCACACCATTCTCAGTTCTGGTGTACTCCTTTCTTTTCACTTCAATGGGGGTTTAACTGTCACATACCATTTAATTTTTTAACCAACTTAAAATAATTTGCTAAAACATAAAAATTTGTTGACACAAAATAATCAAAATTAAATGTTAAAAATTAAGTGGGGCTGGATGCAGTGGCACTTTGGGAGGCCAAGGCAGGAGGATCTCTTGAGCCCAGGAGTTCAAGGTCAGCCTGAGCAACATAGTTAGACCCTGTCTCTACAAAAAAAATAAAAAAAAAATAAAACAACAATAATAATTAGCTGGATGTGGTTGCACGCGCCCATAGTCCCATCTGTTTGGGAGGTTAAGGTGTGAGGATCACTTGAGCCAAGGAGTTTGAAATTGCAGTGAGCTAAGACTGCACCACTGTACTCTAGCCTGGGCTACAGAGTAAAACCCTGCCCCCCCAAAAAAGAAAAGAAAATTAAGTGTCTTAGACATTTAATTGTAACTGTTTTATAAATGTTTTTAACTAAAAAATTTTGTTCTTTGAAACACACTGGATTGCAAAACATTTAGAGAATTAAACATCATCAATCATAAAAATAACTCAATTTCCTGGGGAATTTTTATAATTTACCACATTAGCTTTGCTCATGTAAAATTTTAACACATTCAATAGTTGCTGAGCTAAGATATTATATTGGTTCTTTACATCTCAATTATCCTATGCCTGTTTTGTTTAGGTAAGACAGGGAAGGAGGTATTGCTAAATCTGGTAGGGGGAAGAAACAAAGTCAAGGCGCAAGATAATCTTAAACACTAAGAAATATGAATGAATATCACAAACAATGAATGAACAAATGAATGAATGATTGTATCTAGGATGAGAAGGTAAAAATACATTTTTAAAGATATTTGGTTTTTAAAAGTTAACCTTGGCTGGGCAAGGTGGCTCACGCCTGTAATTCTAGCACTCTGGAAAGCTGAGGTGGGAGGATCGCTCAAGATCAGGAGTTCGAAATAAGACTCAGCAAGAGCAAGACCCTGTCTCTACTAAAAATAGAAAGAAATTAATTGGCCAACTAAAAATATATAGGAAAAATTAGCCGGGCATGGTGGCGCATGCCTGTAGTCCCAGCTACTCGGGAGGGTGAGGCAGAAGGATTGCTTGAGCCCAGGAGTTTGAGGCTGCTGTGAGCTAGGCTGACGCCATGGCACTCTAGCCCAGGTAATAGAGTGAGACTGTCTCAAAAAAAAAAAAAAAGTTAACCTTAATCATTACTATGATAAAATAAACATACCCAGATTTCATCCTAACATATCCAGGGGACTAAAGTAAATTATTTATATTAAGTGTTTAATCAGGGTATGTGTTAAATTAACACTAATATATTCTTACAGGCTGTGCTAACCTAGAAACAACCCAAATACCCATCCTTAGAGGAATGGATAAATTATGATATATTCATACAGTGGAATACTCTACAACAGTGAAAATGAATGAATCATAGCTACATGCAATAACATGGTTAAGGAACATAATGAGTTTCAAAAGCAAGTTACAGAAGAAAAGCAGTATGTGATTTCAATTACACACAGTTTAAAAACATACAATACTAAACAATATGTTGTTTAGAGATGTAAATACTATGGTAAAACTATAAAGAAAAACAGGAAAATTATACATAAATTCAAGACAGCAGCTGCCTCTAAAGAGAGAAGGAAAGGAATGGGATTAGAAAGGAGTACACAAGGGAATTTAAAGGAAATGGTAATATTCTTTTTCTTAAATTGAGTGATAGGTCACAAGTGAGCATTTGCTGTATGGCTTTTATTCTGTACACATATTTTACAAATACTATTTTATAAGTATTCAATATTTAATAAAAACAACTACAGTTTTATATATTTTCTCTATACTATATTTTCTATATTTCTTTCTATATTTTCTCTATACTAAAACAAGTTTTATAATTTTAACAGGTTTCAACTTCTTGTTTTTAACAGCAGCAGTTATAATTCAATATACATGTACTTCAAATAGTAGTATTACTGTGCCTAAGTTTAAAAAAATCTAAATTGAGCTTTTAAAAAGTCAGATACTCAGGAAAAAATATGATGGCAACTTTTGAAGTCCAATTTAGTTCAGAACCCATTAAAATAAAAACTTCTTAATCTTCTAAGTAGTTAGGATATGTATTCATTTTTTACTCAAGGTGGACATCAACAAAAATACCCTAATGGAACAAATATCTTCAGATCTTAATTTTACTGACAAACTGATCCTAAAAGATCTGTCTCCCAAGCAATTCCACAGCATGCAAAAATATTTTAAAAGCACTTTTTTTAAAGGCTTATTCTTACAGTTTACCTACATATAACTTTAAGAATTTAATCGTTATACAAAACATGGGAATGCTCAAGCTTTACCAGATTATTCTGCTCTGTATGTGGATTTTTTTTAAAGATATGTGTTAAAAACATTAAGTGTTTAGGGAAGATCTTTTAAAAAATATTTTGTACATGTATACCAAAAAAAAAAAAAAGTTCTCCAACAGTGAAATACAATTGTTTATCTACTATGTAAACTGACAAAAACAATGATAAAAATCTGCTAAGTTTTATCTGTTTCTATAAAGTGAGTATTGCTGCTCAAATATACAGCGAGATCAAAAATAAAAATAATCTTTATACATGGTTACCTATGGAAGTGGTTTTCAGATTGTACTTTCCTAGAACCTTGTATTTTGTTTTTCCAGCATGGAGGGTTTATAATTAGGTAACAGTCTGAAGTCTACCATCATTAACACAAAAGTAGCTTTTAGCACCATTTTTGGTTCAAAAGGAAACAACCCTAAAGATAAAAATAAGTTTAATTATATACGTATTTTCCCCACATACTGAAATTTTAAAGAAGGGAAAAATTTTAAAGTCACACTTCCGAAATTCTTCAATAAGAGTATTTTTATGCTGTTTTTTTTTTCCAAAGTAAATTCTTAGTTCTTCCTTCGAGTTTCCAAGATTTTAAAATTGAAATGCAGCAACAGCAACACCAAAGATGCTTTCTTTCCATAAATCCATGGACAGTGTCTAACAAATTACCCTCCAACATTTTAATGTTACATATAAAAAGCCAGTCCAGCTACTATCCCAGCCACTATTATTTCAATTAACCTCCTCGCCCATTATAGAGATTTAGTAATAATTTTCGTATCTTACACCACCTATTGTAAGAAACAATAACCCAGTTACTATGAATATACATTTCTCGGCAACTTTACCTCTATGTCTAGCTTTACTTTTCGTCTTCCCCTTCTAGCCTAAAACTCTAAGGATCATGATCCTTTTTAAAACCTCATATGAACTTTACAACTCAAATTTACCAACCGCGCTCAACCCTTAGACCCTTATGTTATACGATTATAATTCTTTAAAAGTACTTTAAAAAGCCCTATACCTTTTTCCTTCATCCGTTAAGACTTAAGCTCTGGGAACAGAGGTGAGGGGCCAGGGATAGTGTGAAATCTGAGGGAAGAGGTGCGGCGGAAGGTTAAGAAGACTTCGGAGTACGACAAAAGAAAGCACTAGAAGGTTAGCTGGATGACGAGAACCGTTAGGCAGTGGGTTAGACTAGGTGCACGAGAAGGACCCAAAGGGGAGGGGCGTAACCTCTTGCCCTCTAGCCCCCCAACGCCCCCAAGCGACTCGAGCCCACCCTAACCGCCGCTCCTAGCGGCCTCCATTTTGGCGTTTTCCCAGCCCCGCCCCTCGCGTGCGCCTGGCTCCGCGCCCCTCGCGTGCGCCTGGCTCCACCCCCCCCGCGGGGCGAGTAGAGAAACAGGAAGTGGAAGTGTAAAGCCAGCATCCCGGCGCGCGGGGTGTCCTGCACTAGGATGGGGCTCCGGGTCTGCCACTCTGCGCTCCCCGTGCTGCTGCCCGGGGCTGTAGACTTCCCAGAAAAGTCGTGGAACCATGTCGAATATGGAAAGTATCCTTTTCTGTCTGAAAAGCTGCTGCTAAAGCCTAGGGAACGGGGGAACGGGAGAGGCTGGGCACCTGGAGGGCGCCTGGTGGTGACCTTTTTTGGTCCAGTTGTGGAGGGATGAAGGCACTGGCGCCAATTGGCAGGCTCTTGCAGCTTGGCTTTAGTTTTGTGGGTTTTTTTTTTTTCTTTCCTGCTAGCGGCTGCCATCCTAAAAGTAGGGGAGATGGGACTACTTTGGAAAGAGCCAAGGGAGTACTTGTTTGAGAAGGTTTTTGAGCGCGAACCCTTCCTCTTTGAGGGCTTCTGTCAAATGTCCTTTAGTGAATTTGTCCTCCTCTTTGAAATTGTTGGGAAATAGTGCGAGATTAGAGGCAAGGCGACAGGAATTTGCCAAAGGTTTGGGGCAGAGGTGTAGCTTTTGAGTGCATTGCGAGGACAAATAGCTTTTGTCTAACTGCACTTTTTGCTGTTTCTAGACAGAAGTGACTGGTAATGAGGTAAAGTGCTTAATAGCAGCCCTCCAAACTAATATGATTGCTTGCTTGATAATCATCTGGTTTAACACATGAGGAAACTCATACAGTTCCTTAAAGCTATAAAATTCATCAGTTGCACCTGTGTTCCTACCTAAGAAGTGAGATCGGAGTTTAGAACCAAGTTATATGAAGCCTCTAACTGGAGATAGATACAATTGTTTTTCACAATTTTATGTCGCTGTAGTTCGTCCTTATTCCAGCATTTGGTATTATAGAAAATATAGTATCTTGGTATCTTGCCATTGAATGAAACTTGGCAAAATGATAAAATATGAGTAATACCTTTTGTTTGATAGCTCATGTTAAAGCTCTTTTGGCTTCATTAGTTCGTAAGCCTGAAATATGGAAAGACATTTGGTGAAAGGATTAAATTATTGAAGCTATACTGACAATGTTGCTAACATTATATCATGCAGAGGGTTGGCCAATATTAACCAAGAATAAAATGTGAACCCTTGAGGAGGGACGCAGATATGTCATTTCGTGAACAGAGTAGATAACTAAAATGCCCATTTCTTGTTGCAGTTTAAAGGATAATGAAGGGAGTATAGTTGTATTAGCATCCTAAAGGAAAGCACTGGACTATGAGTCAGAAAATCAATTTCTAATCCTAGTTCATTTTAAGAAATCTGTGAGTTAGAGCAAATCAGATAGTCTCTGTGATGCAAAGCTTACTCATCTGTAAATATGCTTACTGACCTGCCAACTTTATAAAGCTGTTGTGAAGATAACAGGAAATGGAAATACTCACTAAATTATAGTTTTGAACATGCAGTTAAATATGAGAAAAGAGATTATAAATTCTTATCTCTTTTGCCAGAACCTCTGGAAGGATTTGAGGTAATAGCTTTAAAAGTGTTTTTGTTTCCTACTAGTTATGTTTGCTCTGCTTAAGCCTACCCTACGTGATTTCCAATGACAAGATAACTGGTTACTAACTTTCTTTCACTGAAAGGTATGTCTGTCTATAATCAGAGTTAATGGTACTGTTAACAATAGTTGAGTACCTAACAAAATGAATTATTAACTTTCCCTCAATCTGTCAAAAAAAAGTGAGGAGGTTTAACTTAATTCATACCATCTGGCTCTGATTATTTCTCTTGGTTCATTTATGTAGAATTTTAGACTTTTTCCTTGGAGTATAGAAGAGGAGAATGACATATGGACTCAGACCTTTCATAAGCAACTTGAACTGAAACTTGAGTAACCCTTAATTTGTCACTTTTATAAAATGCAAACATTTCATTGTTATAAAACTGTGCTAACACAATTCAATTAGCTTGGTAATTTTGACTTCTGTCTTTGGAGCAATATTTACACAGGGTGTTTAGGAACTAAGGTTAGATTAGCTATAGGAATGAAACAATAGTAAAGAAATAATTAAAGGATACATCCCTGTTATGTGCTTTTTTTTTTCTTTTTGTCCTTACCTCTCTTCTGGTTAACTCATAACTCATTTTGTTATTCTTGGACTTAGGCTCAAGCATGTTTCATTTACAGGAAGCTTTCCATTTTTCTAATCTCCTAACCTACCGTCCCCGCGAATCTTAAGAATCTGGGAGTATCATTTCCCACAAGTTTCTACTATGTGCTCCTTTCCCCATCTGTTTTCCCCTCCATTTTAGCCTTTCCTAACTATCACGATCATATGTTTACCTATCTGTCTGTTCCATTATACTGTGAGGTCCTGTGGGTGGGGTCCTTATTTTTCATCTTTGAATCTTCATTTCCTTGCACAGCACTGGGCCCATAGTAGACACAAAATGAATAAATTACCTTTTATTAAGAGTTAATTATTAAAATATATTTGAGTCTCTACTATGGACTAAGCAATGCTCCCAGGCTGTGGCTACACAGAGGGTCATAACATTCATCCCTGACTTAGAGCAGCTTTTGATCTAGTGGATCTGGACACACATAGGTGGGGATAAATAACAATGCAAGGTAGCACATATTAACTGAGGTGAGTGCTAGAACAGCAATTCTTGATATCATGTGTGGACTTAATAAACTCTTGAAATTATATGAAAAATATTATATGTTAATATGTGCATTTTCCTGGGAAGACTATAGACATCTTTCTTCAAGAGATTCAAACCTGAAAAAAGTTAAAAACCAATGAAGTAGATAATAAGTACCATAGACATTCTTAGAGTACAGAAAGGGATGTTCCTGACTAGTATCATTGTCTCCTTTTGTGGTCCCCTAGACAGCTGAGACTGTTACAGGCAAAGCTTGCCAGATACTTTAAAAATGTCTGTTAGTCATTATGAATCTTGTGACGTTCTAAATCCTAAAGCAGAACTAATTACATATTAATTGCTTTGGTTTTGCTAGTGTTGACAAATGTGATGTATTTTGACCAAGATATTGATATTTCAGATTTACTTTTTAAATTTACCTGACAGTTCTGTATTTTATGGCCTGGCTAGTCAGTATAATGTTGTGTTTTACAAGAGTATTATATGTAAGGATTATTTGTGGTTCATTGTTTGATATCATTTGAGGGCCAATTCTGAGAAATTCCCTATGAGAGTTAACAAAATGTTGAACTGGATTTGAGTTCTTCTTTGTTCCTGTATTCAGCAATTTTTCCCCACTTACCCATCTCTAGGCTTCAGTTTTCACATCAGTAAAATGAGGGGGGTTGACAAATCATCTCTAAGGTTCCTTTCAATTCTTAGGACTTCACTGTGATTCTGTGATGCCAAACACTACCTTTTCAAAATACACAAGGGGTAATTAAGATGCTGGAAGCTGAATAGGAGGAAAGGTGGATGCATAATTCCACTTCTCACCAAGTGCATGAGTAAACAATATATGGTATTAGTACTGCTGCTTTGTTCTGGGAAGCTGCTAGTGGAACATTTTTATTTCCTTCCTCTTACCTCGTCTTTTTCACCCTCTCCTTCTGTATGCCCAGAGGATTGCATAATCCTGCTTTGGGCCCTGGGCATAAAATAACTTATGCTGTAATGTGTTTATATAACTTATTTTCACTTGGTGTTTTTCCACCCACTTCAGAAAGGCAGGCCAGGATGTGATATTTCTGTGAATTTCTATGGTGAATTGAATGTAACAATTTTTATTGAGGAAACAGATTGAATTCAATTCTAAAAGCAAGGCTTTTTTCCCTATGTATACAATGAATATGTTGAACCCTAATAATTCTTATTTATTTAAAATGTAAAGCAATGATAAGACATAACTGATTTCTATCCTTTGCCTGTCAGCAATGTAATTGCAAATGAACAAAATTAAAATGTTTTAATGTTTTACAGATATATTCAGACTTTTTTTTTCAGAATTTTTATTTCCTGACCAACCATATTGCCAAATTAGTATAGGTGACTCTGCAAAGTCATGAGGAGGTAATTATAATAGTTCTCATTTACTAAACCCCTACTGTATGCAAAACTTTGTGCTGGGGATTTTATATACATTTCAAATTCTCAAAGAAACACTGGGTGACAGGTGATATTATTTCCATTTTATAGAAGAGGAAATTAAAGCCAAGAAAAGCCATAGAGCTTATAAGCATAAAGGATCTATCTGGGCCAGACCCCAAAGTCTCTTCTGTTCACTTTCTGCAGTGCCTCCAGGACTTTTACAGCACCATTCAGTTATGTTTGATGGAGTTCTAGGGGTTTTGCAGAGCAACTTTTTCTACATACTAATATTCCACTTGGGATTTTGCTTTAAAAGGAGTGGGAAAAAACATGAATCTAAACACTTGATGGGAAAGCCTAACCTAGATTTCCTTGAAGACAAGTCTGGTTCATAGATATTCACTGTTAAAAGATATACTTATATGATATAATGTTTTAATTTTTTTAAATTTCAGTAGATTTGGGGGATACAGAAAGTGGTTTTTGGTTACATGGATGAATTGTATAGTGATGAAGTCTTGGCTTTTAGTATACCTCTCACCCAAATAGTGTACATTGTACCCAATAGGTATTTTTTTTTTTTATCCCTCACCACTTGTTTTAAATTTTGACTTTGTAAAATTGAAAGGAGGGGAATTGATACTTTCTGAAAATTTGAAATAATTGAAATGTTCAGATGATTGATTTCATTATTTATCAATTCCAAGGGCCAAGTGCGTTTTTTGCTTTTGCATGGATTTTGGCAGGAGGAGGGAAACCTGTTGCCATTAGTGGAGAACTCT